ACCCCTACCCCCCCCACCCCTACCCCTTTTAAGGGGGTGGGGGGGGGGGGTAGCTTTCGCGCTAAAGGGCCCTTTCGGGCTCCGGAGGCAAGCCCCCCTCCCCGCTTTCCAAAAGGGGGGGATGGCTCCGCTACCCCCCCCCCTTTGGAGCCCCCCGCCGGAAGCTGCCCCCCTTCGCTTCCGCCCCTCGGGACCCACCTCCTCCCGTTTCGGAGAAGGGGCGCTTAGCTACCCTCCCCCCCTTTGAACCCCCCTCTGCCGGAAGCGCACAGTCGATGGAGTCCTAAAGCAGGCCGGGGCCCCGGCCTCGCGGAGCGGCCATCCTTCAAGAGCCGCCGAGCGCACGCAGCCTAACGCGGCACGCCAGGACGGGGGGTGTCTGGCCGCCGTCGGCCTCTTCGGACCCTCGCCGGGCCCCTGGGGCCGTCCGAAGACTATCCAAGGCGCGATGCGCTGGCACCGGGGAAAGGGTCGAGACCCCCGGGGACTTCGAGTGGAAGACATCCAGATTGGCTAGAAGGGACAGGGCACAGGAAGACAAAAAAAGGGCGCCGAAAACCGACGGAGCGCCGAAAACCAGACGGCCACCCAAAACCGAAAGGGGAACACCGAAAGCGCGCCGAAAACCGAAGGAACGCCAAAAACAGAAAGGGCGCCGAAAATCGAAGGTGCGCCGAAAACCAAAAGGGCGCTGAAAACCGAAGGAGCGCCGAAAACTGAAGGAGCGCCGAAAACCAAAGGAGCGCTGACAACCAAAAGGGCGCCGAAAACCGAAGAAGCGCCGACAACCAAACGATTGCCGAAAAGGAAAGGGGCGCCGAAAACCAAAAGAACGCCGAAAACTAAAGAGGCTCCGAAACCCAAAGGGGCGCCGAAAACCCAAAAAAAAAATCCGATACCCTAAGGGGCACCGAAAACCAAAGGTGCGCCGAAAACCAAAAGAGCGCTGAAGACCATAGCAGCGCCGAAAACCAAAAGGGCGCCGAAAACCAAAGAGCGCCGAACCCAAAAGGGCGCTGAAAACCAAAGGGGCGCCGAACTTCAAAAGATCGCCGAAAACCAACGGAACGCCGAAAACAAAGAGGGCGCCGAAAACCACTGATGCGACGAAAACCAAAGGAACGCCGAAAACCAAAGGAGCGCCGAAAACCGGAAAGGCGCCGAATCCAAATGAGCGCCGAAAACGGAAATGGCGCCGAAAACCACATGAGCACCGAAAACCAAGGAGGCGCAGAAAACCTAACGGGCACCGAAAACCCAAGAAGCACCGACCACAAAAAAGGCGCCGAACACAAAAAAGAGGCGCCGAAAACCAAAAGGGCGCCGCAACCCAAAACGACACCGCAAAAGAAAAGGGCGCCGGGCACCAAGATGTCGCGAAAACCACAAAGGCGCCGAAAACCACAGGTAGCCGAAAACCAAAAAGGAGCGCCGAAACCCAATAGGGTGGGCGCCCAAAACCGAAGGGGCGCCGAAAACCCAAGAGCGCCAAAACCGAAGGGCCACCGAAAACCAAAGGAGCGCCAAAAACCAAAGGGGCTCTGAAGACCACAGGAGCGACCACGGGGGCGCCAAAAACCAAAGGGGCGGCGAAAATCAGAAGGGCGCCGAACACAAAAAAAAAAACGTCGAAAACCAAAGGAACGCCGAAAACCAAAGGTGCGCCGAAAACCAAAAAGGGCGGCGAAATCCAACAGAACGCCGAAAACCAAAGGGGCGCCGAAAACCAGAGAGACGCCGAAAACCAGAAGGGCGCCGACAACTACAGAGGCAACGAAAAGTAAAGGAGCGCCGAACATCAAAGCTGCGCCGAGAATCAACAGGGCGCCGAAAATCACAGGTGCGCAAACAAACAAAACAGGATGCCGAAAACAAAAAGAGCGCCGAAAACCCAAAGAGCATCGACAAAACCAAGAAGGCGGCGAAAACCAAACGGGCGCCGAAAAACAACAGAGCGCCGAACGGCAATGTAGCGCCGAAAACCAAAGTGGCGCCGAAAACCAACGGAACGCCAAAAACCAACGATGGACCAAAAACCGAAAGTGCGACAGAAAAAAACTCATACATAAGGGCGCCGAAAACAAAATGGGCGCCGAAAACCAATGGGCGCCGAAATCCACAACAAACAAAAAATAAAAAACGACGCCGAAAACCGAAAAGACGCCAAAAATCAAGGATGCAGGCTGGTTCCCTGAAGAAGGCGGGGGGCTCTCTCCAGCTTGCTCACTCCAAAGTCCTGGCGTCCCTCCACTCGCAGACGCCTCGGACTTCGATGAATGCAGGGACGAATTTCCAGGAGTGCTCTGACGGAAACACCTCCTCGAGTTTCCGAGTGCGCCCGTCGTGATCCTCGACGCTTTCTCTCATATCCGTGACCTGTGACGACTCGGGCCTAGATCAGTTTCTGATGCTTGATAAGGCATGCTGAACATATCCTCCATTCCGACGGACATGGCGAAAGCTCCACGTGTAAAGGCGATCTCAAGACATCCGTACGATCTCGGAGCCATGACATCCTCATCCCACCCTCCCTCCATCCCTCCATCAGTTCCCCCCTTCTCCCTCATCCGCCCTCCCTCCCTCCCCCCTCATCTGCCCTCAGTATTCTCTCTGCCCCTTCCCCCGTCGTCTTGCCCTGCCCCACCGTGCCTCCCTCCTCCTGGCCCCGCCCTCCTCCCCACTTCGCTGGCCGCGGGTCTGGCGCCCCCACCGGCTCTCAGGAGGCCACCCTGAGCGCAAGTGCGTCCGTCACAGAGCGCTCTTATGCAGCCACTCCGCCGCCCTCCACGACAACGCAGTCCAGGCCCTGAGCACACGGGCAGCCCAACGCCAGAAGATTATCCCAGTGCGACCCTACTTAGGAGTTGGAGCCCCTAGGAAAGCAGCATTAGTAGTAACAGTAGAGCTAAGCTAAAGCTAAGCTAAAGCTAAGCTAAAGCTAAGCTAAAGCTAAGCTAAAGCTAAGCGAAAGCTAAGCTAAAGCTAAGCTAAAGCTAAGCTAAAGCTAAGCTAAAGCTAAGCTAAAGGTAAGCTGAAGCTAACCTAAAGCTAAGCTAAAGCTAAGCTAAAGCTAAGCTAAAGCTAAGCTAAAGCTTAGCTAAATCTAAGCTAAAGCTAAGCTAAAGCTAAGCTAAAGCTAAAGCTAAAGCTAAAGCTAAAGCTAAAGCTAAAGCTAAAGCTAAAGCTAAAGCTCCCAGGGGACTGGTGGAACCGCTCCCAGGGGACTGGGGGAACCGCCCGGGGCGAGTTCCACTGCCCGGCCCCTGTAAGAACCCTCTAGGCAGAGCCTAGGTAGGGAACAAGAGGAAGACGGAAGGCGCGAAAGCGCAAGAAGGACCGAATGCAGCAACGCAAGACGGGGCGAAAACGAGGCCGGTCAGTCAGTGGAGCCGCGCCGCACGGCGCATCGGCTAAACAGCACAGGGCGAATTACAATGATACCGGGAAAAAACCCAATCAAAGTCTTTTTAGGGCTGTAGGGCTATGGGGCTATTGGGCTATAGGGCGACGGGGTCATGGGGCTATAGGGCCATGGACCTATAGGAATATAGGGTCATAGGGCTCTTGGTCTGTCGGAGGTTGGGGGGAGAGATCGAAGTGGAACGGAGAGCCCCCCCACCGGGAAATCGATTTCGGTTTCGTGTTCGTGCCGTGCGTGCGGGCGAGGCGAAGTTGCGTGGGCGGGGGAGAAGAAATTCTCCTGTGGCTGGGCCGCGGCTGGACCAAAAGGTTCTCCACCCAGCAACCGGTGGCGCGCGGTGTCCCGCCGGTGTCCCGCTGGTGTCCCGCTGGTGTCCCGCCGGTGTCCCGTCGTGACTGGGCCGCGGCCGGACCAAAAGGTTCTCCGCCCGGCAACCGGTGGCGCGCGGTGTCCCGCCAGTGTCCCGCTGGTGTCCCGCTGGTGTCCCGCCGGTGTCCCGTCGTTATCCCGTGGTGTCCCGTGGTGAGATCGACAGTGAGATCGATAGTGAGATCGATAATGAGATCGACAATGAGACCGAAGCCAAACGGCCCCCCAAGCCCTTGCAAAATGAACGGAAAAAAAAATATTTCGTTGGTTCCCAGGGGAGGGGGGGAATGGTACCAAGGCGCCCAAAAGCGAAGGGTGACGTAAACAACTCGACACCAAGGCTCCCAAGAGCGAGCGGCAACGCAACGATCTCCTCTGGAATCGTCAGAACAACAGTCACCACTGTTGCCCACTGCTGACCCCCTCCCCCCCAACCTCCTTATCACCCGCAGGGTGTTCGTATAGGCAGGGCTACAGGGCTATAGGGCTATAGGGATATAGGGCTATAGGGCTATAGGGCTGTAGGGCTATGGGGCTATGGGGCTCTGAGGATAAGGGGGTATAGGGCTACAGGGCCACAAGGCTATGAGTATATAGGGCTATGGCCATAGGGCGATAGGACCATAGGACTATAGGGCTATAGGGATAAAGGGCTATGGGACTATACGGCTATACGGCTATAGGCATATGGAGCAATGGGGCAATAGGGCTGTGGGGCAATAGGGCTGTAGGGACATAGGACTATAAGGATACAGCGCTATTGGGCTACTGGGCTATAGGGCTACAAGGCTATAGGGCTATGGGACTATAGGGCTATGGGGTTATAGGGCTATAGGGCTACAGGGTTATAGGGCTATAGGGTTGTAGGGCTATTCGGCTATTGGGCTACAGAGCTATAGGGCTATTGGGTTACAGGGCTATATGGTTATTGGGCTATGGTGCTATAGGGCTATAAGGCTATAGGGCTATGGGGCTATATGGCTATAGAACCATAGGGCTATAGGGCTATAGGGTTATGGAGGTATGGGGCTATGGGGATATGGGGCTGTAGGGCTACAGGGCCATAGGGCTATGAGTATGTAGGGCTATGGGGCTATATGGCTATAAGACAATAGGACTATAGGGCTATAGGGCTATAGGGATATAGGGCTCGGGGGCTATACAGCTATACGGCTATAGGCATATGGAGCTATGGGGCTATAGGGCTATGGGGCTATAGGGCTATAGGGCTGTAAGGTTAGAAGACTGTAGGGCTATATGGCTATAGGGCTATAGGGTTGTAGGGCAATTGGGCAATTGGGCGATAGGGCTGTAGGGCTATAGGGCTATGGAGCTATAGTGCTATTGGGATATAGGGCTATGAGATGGGGCTCTAGGGCTATAGGGCTATAGGGATATAAGGCTATAAGGCTGTGGGGCTACAGGGCTATAGGGCTATTGAGCTATAGGGCTATAGGGCAATTGGGCTATAAAGCTATAAGGCTGTAAGGCTATAAGGCTATAGGACTATATAACTATAGACCTACAGAGCTATAGAGCCATAGGGCTATAGGGCTATAAAGCACCCGGGCACCCGGGCACTCGGGCGGGCCGCGGAAATCGGCAGCAGTCTAACCTAACCATATAAATCCGCTAGGACACCTTACAAAGGTAAGCTCTGATTTGGGAATGAATCCGCTAGGACCCCTACAGAGGCAAGCTCTGATTGGGGAACTGTTCTGCTACATAAGTTCTATGTGGTGACCGCACTGGCGACAAAGGCAAAAGTCAAGCCTGAGCAAGGCTTCTGCTCAGTGTGTGTGGCGGGCCATCCCCTGAAATCGCCCCCTCCTCCCTCCCTACTCCATCCAGAAAATGCCAACAGCTGACTCTGGCCCAGGAAGCCCCAAACTTATCGCGCAGTCTTGGGACGCCCTAATGCCCTCTAGGCCTCGCGAGGGGCGATCTGGAGGCCATCTGGGCCTGGAGAAGCTGGGGCCAGCTCCAGCAGCACCCGATCCGTACTCCCTCGGCCCTCACCCTCCCAAATGCTCCCCCTCCTCCTCCTCCTCCTCCTCCTCCTCCTCCTCCTCCTCATCATCATCATCATCATCATCATCATCATCATCATCATCATCATCATCCTCATCATCCTCATCCTCATCCTCATCCTCATCCTCATCCTCCTCCGCCTCGTCTTCCTCCTCCTCGTCCGGATCCTCCTCCTCCTCCTCATCATCCTCCTCCTCCTCCAACTCATCATTCTGGTCCTCCTGCTCCTCCGCCTCCTCCTCCTCCTCCTCCTCCTCCTCCTCCTCCTCCTCCATCCCAGGCGGGGGAGCACTGGTGCGTGTACACCGTCCGACCTGACCCCGAGAACAACGTGGGCACCAGCTTGATGTAGTAGTGAAACCTCCACGGCATCGCGCGGCGGGCTGACGGACAATGACGGGGGAAGAGAGGAGGGAGGGTCGGTCCGCTCGGTCGAGATTGACGGCGTTGACCAGGAGAAGCCAGGGGGAAGGGGGGGAGGAGCACAAAGGAGGGAGGAAGCAGCGAGGAGCGAGGAGGAACGAGGAAAGGCGGGAAGAGGAAGAGGAATGATCTACGAGCAGGACCAGGTGTGAGTGAAAACAGGGTGGGGAGGGAGTGGAGGGCGGGAGGAGGTGGGAGCGGATCAAAAACAGCCCAAGAGAGCCCCAAAACGCCCCGAGACGCCCCCAAGACAGCCCAAGTAACACGACCGGGACCACTCTATTTCACCTCAGTCCGCCCCGCTCTTACGACACCGCTCCAAAGCCCACTCCTGCGAGGCGGGAATTTGTCCATAACCACCGCCTGGGAACCGACGTCCTGGTGCCCCAGCGGCGGGTGGGTATGGATGTATTTTGGCCCCTGGAGGCCCGAATATGTCCATATTCACCGCTTCTGGAGGTCCGCGAGGATCGATCCCCCAGGCGGTCGATATGGATAAATTCCCGCCTCGGAACTCCACTCCACCCCACTCAACTGCACACCGCCCATCGCCTCCCCATTCTCCGTTCCACTCCGCTCCTCATCCCCCCTGCGACCGCCTCCGCGCCACCCTACCCCTACCCAGTCCTACCAATTCTCGTTTGCTCTGCCTGGTTCCTGCCCGCTCCACTCGTCTCCTCTCCCCCCCCTTCTCCGTTCTCAACCCCATTCCCCTCCACTTCACTCCGCTCCTCCCCTCTCCTCGCAAGGCATGAGCGTGCAAATCCAACTTGTCTGGCCGATGCTCTGGGGGGGCCTGTGCTCATGGGAGGCTGCAGCACCGCTCAACGATGTGCTGTCAACCAGGACCTGCAGGGTGAGCCCTGCCCATTTTTTGTGCACTTCAGCTTTGGCTGCGGCGCCAGCCGTACGGCAGGTTCGTGTCGTGCCGACTTCGGTTTTGGTTTCTGACACCGCCGGGATCGTTCAACCTTGAACGCTCGGCCGTGTCCGAACCGTCTGATCGTTCAACATCGACCGATTCTGGGTCCCCGGCGGCATTCAACTTTGAACGCCAGCGGCGGGGTCACCGCCGATCGACGCAACGCGAACCTCGCGCAGGTGCACCGTGGGGCGCCTTCGGACCAGCTCACCCGAGTTGGTTTTCCTCTCCCCCCTCCTCCTCCTCCATCCCTTTTCCCCTCCTCCCCTCCTCCTCCCCTCCTCCTCCTCCTCCTCCTCCTCCCTCCTCCCCTCCTCCCCTCCTCCTCCTCCTCCCTCCTCCTCCTCCTCCCTCCTCCTCCTCCTCCTCCTCCTCCTCCTCCTCCTCCTCCTCCTCCTCCTCCTCCTCCTCCATCCCCTTTTCCTTAACAAATCCGCCGACCCTCGCTCGCCTGGGGTGAAAAGGGCGCGCGCGGCAAAAATCCAGCTCAATGGGGGGTACGAGCTCGTCACCGCGCCCCTGGGGCATCCAGGGCCTTCCAAAAAAAACCCAGGCGGACCCAGAGAGCCAAGACAGAGCGCCGAGACAGTCCAAGAGAGCGTCGAAACGGCCCCGGGTAGCCAAACCACGATCCGAGATGGGCTCAAGACGGCCAACGACGACCCCTCAGAGGGCCGTAAGCAGCAAACACCGCCCGAACCCCCCAGAGGAACGCACATTTGTGTTGCAAAGTCTCCGCTTCCAAATGAGGAGAAGGATGAAGATGAGGATGACGAGAAGGAGGACGTGGAGGTGGTGGAGGAAGAGGAGGAGGAGGAGGAGGAGGAGGAGGAGGAGAAAGGAGAAAGGAGAAGGAGGAGGAGGAGAAGGAGGAAGAGGAGGATGAGGAGTTCGCAGCATTGGTCTTCACAACGTCCAGAGCCTGCTCAAGAGGGCCCCAGGATCGCTCCAAGAGGGAGCCCACGGCGCTAGAAAGAGAAAGAGCCCCAAGACGGCCGAAGCGGGCCCCAAGACGGCCCCAGAGAAGCGCCCACGATGACACCCGGGGGAGGACGAGACTGGAATCACCAGAAAAATGTTTGACTCACGAGTTAATGCGTTCGTACAGTGATTATACACATGTCACCTGCGTGGAAACTCAGCTCGTTCGTAAGTAAACACAATACATACACACGTACACACATACACACATTCACACATATTTTATATATCTATATAACAAATCGAAAGATCGCACAACGATCGGAAATCCGAAATCGGCATCGACCAACATTCATCGAAATCCGTACTATCCAGAGCTCGCAAGTGTTAAACGTACGTCCGCATACCTCACGGAAGAAGTCTTCATGGTCTGTAGCACTACAGAGAATCGCATTACCACGAAAGGTTATTCGTATGTCATGCTGTCAGCAGGTCTCCTGGAGATCTCTGGGATCGCTCGGCCTCCAAGAATATGCATGCCCATGTCCTACACAGGACTCGTGGCAGCTCTGGGGCACAAGTGCGGCAGCAAGGGGGTCAAAAGTTGCTAAGTTGTCTGGCTCAATTTCCTCTCAATCAAAAAACCCCTGCGAGGATTTTTCAATCAAAAACACGAACCCCGCGGTAGAGATCGGAAAGGCACGGGCACAGAAATAATACGTTCATCATCCATCATTCATCCCGCATATCTTGACGAATATTTGTTCGAGTGAAAATATAACGTTCTATACTATTTCAGAAACACTATCATTGTGAAGGCGATGGATTGTTTTCTGATTCAGCCTGACCGTTTGCCTCCCGGGATATTGTATTATGTACGATCCGTAACAATTCAGGGTCCAATTTTGTTCTCAGCAATCAGCATCGTGTTCGTTCACAGCCGCACATTTACCCCATGGGATGTTCATTACGCCCTTGCTCTCCGCCGCAAGTGGCGGCATTTTTATGGCGTCGGTCAGCGGTCGACGGCGCAAGCGGTGGGGACCTCCTTTGCTGGTACCCCACCGCGAAATCGGCAGGCTGCCAGCTGGGGAGGCACCTTGTCCACCGAGTGCGAATTCGAAAAATTGGTCCATCGATTCAATGAAAACCGTTCCTCGTCCAGTTGAAGTTCCACAGTCAGGCCCAGGAGAACACCCGCCCCCAACGAGAAAGGCGAGGCGCCATCTGAGACATTAGGAGGTTAAGTTTACCTCGCTGTTCCCAACCCTACTTGGCGCACGATGCAAACATATTTGTTCGAGAAAATGAATGGACAGCGCAAGCGTTAAGGCCATCGTATTCAAATCGAAATCAATTATCCTGGCGAAAGACCCAAGCATATGCAGTTGTGAGTGCCGCAATTGTGAGTACCTTCTTCGGCGGCGCTCCCTATGGGGCCACGAACCGCATGAGGGGTATGCCGAAATATGGCGGGGTACACAACGCAAAGGAATACGATAGGTCAGATTACGAAAGAATGAACGCGGGTGAGCCAGAGCGCGAGAGAGTCTGAGTGTGAATGGGTCTGCGTGGGAGTGAGTATATTTGCATGAATGCGATCTTGGCTACGCCTAGTGTAAATGTATATGAATGTGAATGGCTCGAGCACGCCTGTCCGAACACTCGTGACACTGGGCGTGGCCGCCGCAGGCAGCTTCCGCGGGAACCCCGACGGCAGCGCCCGCGCGCCGCGACGCCCATGTCGGCACGCCCCTCGCGGGGATCGCACCCGCTTCCGCCCCTTCTTTTCCCCCCTCTTTGCTTGCGCGCTCCAAAAATCCAAAGCTGCGGGCGCAGAGCAGCGCGGAGTCCCCGCGACGCGCGCAGGTCGCCGCGGAGGGATCCCAGCGACGCGCGCAGGTCCTGAGATGGAGCTCCCTGTGGGGCCACGAAACGTGTGAAGGGGTGCCATGCGAACTGCACCACTGGGACCTTAGGTGCAACTCCCTGAGGGGCCACGAAACGTGTGAGGGGTGTGCCAAAAAGGGGCGGTGGCGCCATGCGAGCTGCGCCACTTGGACCTCAGGTGGAGCTCCCTGAAGGGCCACGAAACGTGTGAGGGGTGTGCCAAAATGGGGCGGTGGCGCCATGCGAGCTGCGCCACTTGGACCGTAAATGGAGCTCCTTATGGGGCCACGAAGCGTGTGAGGGGTGCCAAAAAAAAGGGACGGTGGCGCCATGCGAGCTGCGCCGCGTGGACCTTAGGGGGAGCTCCCTATGGGGCCACGAAGCGTGTGAGGGGTGTGCCAAAATGAGTTCCCTGAGGGGCCACGAAACGTGTGAGGGCTGTGCCAAAATGGGGCGGTGGCGCCATGCGAGCTGCGCCACTTGGACCTCAGGTGGAGCTCCCTGAGGGGCCACGAAACGTGTGAGGGGTGTGCCAAAATGGGGCGGTGGCGCCATGCGAGCTGCGCCACTTGGACCTCAGGTGGAGCTCCCTGAGGGGCCACGAAACGTGTGAGGGGTGTGCCAAAATGGGGCGGTGGCGCCATGCGAGCTGCGCCACTTGGACCGTAAATGGAGCTCCCTGTGGGGCCACGAAACGTGTGAGGGGTGTGCCAAAATGGGGCGGTGGCGCCATGCGAGCTGAGCCGCTTGGACCGTAAATGGAGCTCCCTATGGGGCCACGAAACGTGTGAGGGGTGTGCCAAAAAGGGACGGTAGCGCCATGCGAGCTGCGCCACGTGGACCTTAGGTGGAGCTCCCTATGGGGCCACGAAGCGTGTGAGGGGTGTGCCAAAATGAGTTCCCTGAGGGGCCACGAAACGTGTGAGGGGTGTGCCAAAATGGGGCGGTGGCGCCATGCGAGCTGCGCCACTTGGACCTCAGGTGGAGCTCCATGAGGGGCCACGAAACGTGTGAGGGGTGTGCCAAAATGGGGCGGTGGCGCCATGCGAGCTGCGCCACTTGGACCTTAGGTGGAGCTCCCTATGGGGCCACGAAACGTGTGAGGGGTGTGCCAAAAAGGGGCGGTGGCGCCATGCGAGCTGCGCCACGTGGACCTTAGGTGGAGCTCCCTATGGGGCCACGAAACGTGAGAGGGGTGCGCCATG